TAGAAAATGAAATCTTGAAATCCACAGTGATATTTGATCCTGCTATGTGGCCTACTGAGACTGAGGCTTTAGAGGTGTATGGAGATGATGAAGTCAAATGTTTGTACAGTCACTTCAAACAGACACTAGAATACAGAGGATGCAATGAAATTGACACATTAATTGAATGGAGAGCACTGAAGAAAATAGTTCAAAAAATAGAACAGACAGAAGGCCAATCCCTGAAATATCTTGATATCTGGCAAAGAGTGATGTTGGTGTTTGGAGACAATTATAAGTGTATTCTCATGCTTGTCAAGATAGTTCGTCTCATACCATGTAGTACAGCAGTATGTGAATGCGGATTTTCACTGATGTCAGTAATTAAAAGTGACTGGCGAAGCAGGCTTCAACCTGAAAACCTTAACAGCATTAATGGCAATCAATTTATGTGATGATGAACTTGACACATTTGTTCCTGACAATGCAATTGACTTGTGGTTTCAAGATAGCAAAACAAGCAGAAGACCCCAATACAAGACGATATGGATCTCGGGTACCAGAAAATGAGGCTGCATGGTCTGATGACCACGAACTTATAAAGAAACTTTAAACTTTATTAAAACTTTAAAAGTGGTGCATTTCACAACAAGTTGGTGCAGGTAAATTTCAAATTCAACGTGCACACTGTGCATGCAGGTAAAAAATTCTATTTCAATCCCTGCTATATAATGCAATCAAGAGATAAGACAATTATATATGCTCTAACTAAATATTTGTTTCAATGTAAAAAAACAAACACTGACTAACAATGTCAAAACTTATTATCAAAGTATGTGTGAAAGCTAGGACTAATTTCACAATCAAAATATTAGTAGTATAGTCTAATATTGCTACTTTTATTATATATTTTTTACTTAATACATTACTATGTTTTCAATTTTCAATTTTTCAACTTCATTGATGTACATAACCAAAAAAGAAATGTAATATTTTCTTTACGGTGTCAATAAAGCACTATTCTATTCTATTCTATTCTATTCTATTCTATTCTATTCTATTCTATTCTATTCTATTCTATTCTATTCTATTCTATTCATTGGTGCTTATGAAGGCTGGTTACAGAAGGTTGATATTTAATATATTGTTATTGGTCTAACCTAGGGGATATTCAAATTTGCCGATGATGCAACATAACGCTAGAAGTGGGCTAATTGATTTTAATGTCAAGCCACCGTCCCTTGAGGGACGGTGGTCAAGCTTATATCAGAACATTGTGGCAAAAATTGTAAATGACAGGGACAATGAAAACCTCCATCTGCTGTTTCTGTCGTCAGTTTATTTATTTCATGTTGCTTGTTTACAGCTCTGAATTCAAAGCATTCTCAACTTCTTCATACGTGCACTAATATGAAAAGAAAGGAACCAGTCATCTTTACTCTTGTACCTTGTAGAACCATTTTTTTCACAAGAGTTTATAGTGTATTTCTACACAATGATTAGGTCCTGCATAAAAATAAGGAAACATGGAATTCAGGTATAATTCAGGTTTTAACTCACACTGCACTCAGGTTTCATTTGTTTATCTTTTACTAGCTTGAAGCTGAATCTGTTCCTGAAATATCTGAACGCCATGAGATAAGTGCTGTGCCTACATTTATATTTCTGAAGGTAAAATTAATACTATGATTTTATCAAATATTAAAACATACCAAGTTAGTATATACTATGTGTTACATACTGTTATCCACTGTTTAACACTTATACATCACTCCACTAGGGTCTTAGAACATATACTTACAATAAGTAATATTTTAATGAATATACAACAATTTTTTTGTTTATATATTCACTTTTAAGGCTTTTGGGACAGTACTCAATGTTCATTGGTCAGTTTAGGTGATGCATGCTGGGAATTACCAATAATCATGCATCCTTCACATGATAACATTCGACCAATCAAATTAGACACTCAAGATTGACATGTTACCTTGGGTCTATTTCCAAAACTAAATTTGTGTATGAATTGCATATTTAACTTTTGTCTGGCAGTAACTGTAAAACAATTAATAAAATCTAACAGCGGTGTATCACCTTTTTATCTCCACTGACATCGTAGATCACAGAGCGAAACTGTTTATTTAGGCGATTGTCTGTTGTCTATCAACAATTGCATTTTCAACTTCTTCTTGAAAACTACCAACTTGCTTTGATATCCTTGGGTGGACCTGTCAGATTTGTTCATTTCGTGCGGATATCAACAATTCTTTATTTTTGGCAAATAATTTTGTAATTTTTGGTAAAATATTTTGTAATTTTTCTTGCACTACCAACCCAATTGCTTTGATATTTGAGATGTACATTATTTTGTGTCAATTTATTCCCGACTTGGCTACCAAAATGTTCTTGTAAGACAGCGGGCTATTTTGATTGTCAGGTCGCTTGTGTATCTGTGAATTCAAACAAGTGAACAGCTACAAAATAATCATGAAAACAGGATCTGTATTTCTGCAACTCAAACAGTGTCAAAGATGAATACCGTTTCTGTATGATTTGTTCATTGTATATGTATTATGAAATACGCCACAACTGTATAGATACCATTACAGCAGATCTCTCGTTTTGAAAAAAATTGTTTCATTGTTGAAAATGAATAATATACCGTACTCGACTGCGTTAGCGCCCATGCCC